GCTTCAGCGCGCGGCCACATGCTCGCGCGTGACGTCGGTAGGCGCAGGGCCGGCGCGGTAGACGGAGCGCGACGCGTGAGACCGGTGTCTCTTCTGAGCGCGGGGCGCGGGGCGGGGTGTACGTGTCCCGGGCCGGCTTTCCGAGAATCGGTTGTTTGTCGCGTGACGAGCGGGATCGCCGTTGGGATTGAACTCAACGGAGAGCGAGAACTCTCTCGTTCCCCTTGGTTCGGCGGTCCCGGTGATGCGGTTTCGGAGGCGGTCTGCCGAGATAGGCTGAGGCCGAGAACGCTCTCGATCCCGTGCGACCGTCCCGAGGAGAGGATGTGGAGCAGGTCTGCCAAGAAGTCTTGGTGGAGGCCGAGAACGTCTCTCGACCCCGGTTTTCCTGGCCTGTCTCCACGAGGTATAGGTGGTCTTCTGGCCGACCGGCGGGTAGCAAGTCAAGCGAGAAGACGGAGTGTCTTTTTGGGAAAAAGCCTCCGGCTTTTATACCCGCTCGGGCGCGCGTTCGAGTTCCTCCGCGTTTCGTCGGTGATCTTCGGGAGGGGTTACAAAAAGGGAGGAACGTTCGGTGGGGCAAAGTTCCTTGTGCGCCTGGCTGGGTGGCGGGAGCAAAAGATAGTCCGGGCGCGCCGCGCCCGGTCCCTGCCAGAGGATGGTTGACAGGAACGATGCTGTTCTTTGCAGGGGGTGCATCGTTACACTGTTATATTTCCTACTGTGCAACATCAACCAAATTATAGCGATTGTGGTGTTTTTGCTATAGCTTTTGCGACTTCATTACTATTTAATATTAAACCTGACAAGGTCAAGTATGACCATAAGTTAATGCGTCCACATTTAATACAAATTTTAGAAAATGTAATTGAGCATTTTCCCCAAGATTCACAATATCGTATTACTCAAAAGGTACTTCCATTAACGGTAATAAAAGCAAGAGAAGCTGAAGCATTTCGTATACATATGATGCGTCAATGTAAGGCAAAACAACAAAAATCAAACAAAGAAATTAAAAACAATATAGAGGAAACACAAAATGTTTCAAAAGAAATATTTCAGTTAACGCAAAGCGCTTTAAAGGATATTAAAGTAATAGACAATAATATTCAAGCATTACAAAACGACGTAAATACATGTTCTCAAATACAGTTAACGCACAGCGCTTCAGAAAATGTTATAAAAGTATCAGTCAACAATAATACTCTGATTCAGACTGAACAAAACAATAAAAATAAATGTTCCAAAATACAATTAATGCACAGCGCTTCGGAGAAAATTATGGAAGTATTAGTCAATAATGTTTAGATTCAACAAAGCAATAAAAACAAATGTACTAAAAATAAAGATCAACATTTATATCAACAAAAAAATTTTGATTTAGAAAATAATTGTGTTAAAAAACGTAGTCGATACCAAAAAAATATTGTAAATAATCGTGCTAATAAACGTCGCCGATACCAAGAAAATATAGAAAATAATCGTGCTGACAAACGTCGCCGATACCAAAAAAATATTGAAAATAATCGTACTAAAAAACGTCTTCAATATAAACAAAATTTAGAAAATTATAGCACGAAACAAAGAAAGCGATATAAAAGAGATATAGAAAATAATCGCGCAAAACAAAAAGAGCGATATATAAAAAATATAGAAAATAAGCGCACGAAACAAAGACAGCGATATGAAAGAGATAAAGAAAATATTTGCGCTATGAAACGAATGCGTTACTTAAAAAATTTCAAGTACGAACAAGATAGACAAAGACAAATAGATTGTGATTGTAAGTGGTTGTATAATAAACGATATTATGAGAAACAAAAGTTAAAATCCAGTTTTGTTAAAAAAAAGTTGTGCTAGTGCCAAAAATATTATTAAAAAATATGAAAAGTTTCGGTCACGAAATTACATACAATTTTGTTATCCTGTTGCAATTGAAGATATTTTTAACAAACTTCAGATTAAAAATCACGTTGAAAAACGATTAGAAGCCGAAAGAATTGAACGTTGTTGTATGCAAATTCGAGGCAATTATGTCCGTGATATATATAAAATTTTAGCTGTGCTTAAAAAGAAGTCAGAAGTGTGCTTAACTCTTGCTTCTAAATGCAAAATAATTGATGAAAAATTAAGTGCATTTTGTGGTAAATCCAAGCATACAGCTTCGTCTGAAAATTATTTTATCGATTCTACATATTGTAACATTTCTTCATCACGACCTTTAATAACGAATACGGAAGGTCGAATTACGAACGTATTACCTTTGACGGAAGGGCGAGCTAAAAAATCATGATTATGCGACGATGCTTTGTGTAAAATTAATCCATTTTTAATTAAGCGTTATGAAAAATTCCTTCAAGTGATAAGTACATGTACTTTCAAAAAAATACCAGATTTGTTACAAAAAATCCATAAATGTATGTAATACAGTAAAAGATAAATCAAATATTAAGTTAGGTCATACGCATTCTTGTTACAATGGTACAATTCCTTGCAAAGCGAAGCTGTTCCTTTCCATTCTATTATTATCATCTCATTTTCCAAAGGTAAGGCGTATTAAATGTTTTATTTATCAAATGACAAGTTTTTATCCCAAGATGTTAGATCTCGAAAAGGCTTTGACTTCTGCTGATTTACATACGTTAAATGAAATTATAATTTTGGCACAAGAAAAAGCAAACCGGATGTACAGACATAAACAGATTGATGATACTATTTTGAGCGATGAGGATATCTTTTCTAAATATAAACGAGCATTTAAAGCTTTAACTAAACATTCTATGGATACGCCTCGATATATTTGTGTGTCATGTGAGAAAC